TTAGCTTTTGACACTGAGAACTGCAGAAAAGAAGTGTAATGAACATTGCAATGTACGATCGATACATCAAATATACAGCAGCTAATTTTTTATATTATAAGTCGATTAAACGACTAACAAACAACCCTTTTTTCTGACTTCCGTCAATTTAGGTTTACGTAGAACATAAATTGGTTGCCAATTTTGCTTATTATGTACCGATTTCAAATATTTCACATATTTATATAAATGGCGATGTTGAACTGTACACAGTTTCCTGGGAAGGGAAATTTTACGTATGTTTTTCTGCTTTTTTGTTTCAAGGACTGTTAGTCATGCGCAGTTTAATTTTCAGCGATACATTCGAAAATAAACTAACAAACAAATGAAAATTTGCAGCAAACTCCTTATGCAGCCGATATACCTGGAAATTTTCATCCAGGGCGAAAACTGTACATTTCGGCTTTTCTGAAGCGAAAATCCAAACAGTTTGTAGTTGACTTCTACAGCGGTTACGATATCGCATTCAGAATCAATGCACGACTAGTTGAACGAGTATTAATAAATATTTGCTCATTAGCTCAATTTTTTTTTCAAGAGTTATTGCAGCAAATTCAATCAAATAAATGTCCCGCACATTGTGCTAGTTTTGTTACAAAATTCTCTCGATAGTTTAATTTAAAAAAAGCTGCCAAAAATAGAAAAAATGCCCATTTGCTGCTTGAATAAAGTTATAATGGTCTGCAAAGACACTGGTGATTTTACAGCAGTTTTTACCCTCATACTGTCTAAACCTATACAGTGAGTCATCAAGGTGTCCCAATTAGAACTTTTTTGTGCATTAACAGTCAATAATATCCTTTTGCTTTGCAGAAGTTACTGAAGAATACTCGATGTCAAGACTGCTGGGGTGATGAAGATCAATCGTTAGAAGCCTCATTCCCATTCAAGCTCAACCGTACTTTCGACTTGCTAATTTACTGCGAAGAAAACCGTTTCCTGGTATATTTTCCAAAACTTTTCACCTGATTTCTATTCTTTCCCCAAAAATGTCTTAAAACAGAGCCACATTTTAGCAAAAGAAAATGAATTAAACTTACCTAAAGCAGTATACAATTTAGATATACGTTGACGACTGTCTAACATCGATCTACAGCCACCGCATGAGTCCACAAAGTATAGATAAACTAAGTATTGACGGCGATTTAGAACTTCTTGGTGTGCATTTAAAGTGACTCTCGTGCTGCTAATATTAAGAATTCCCTCTAATTGTGGAACAATGACGGGTACCTTCAAGAAGTTTTAACACAGATTTAAGCTAAACCAGCCGTCTAAGTCCCGAATAAAGAACAAATGGTCCCTCGGGCGGAAAAAAAAACTACTTCCTCAAATATCTTCATATCTACCAGCCGTTCCAATCAAGTCTGTACAAAACAGTGGAATTCACAAGCCACACAGCGGCAAAGTTTTCCAGAAACTACTGCAGTTTCACATTGGAATATCAAACGTAGCGACCGCATTCCACATTGTCTTACCAAATTTTACGAAATAAATGTATCGCTGTATAATATTCGACACAATGATCATTAATTACTGCACTGCCCAATATTACTCAATCACAGCTGTATTCTCAACACAAATGTTACTTAAGCGAATTGATAAACTAATAAAAATAAACATTTCAAAGCACCTCTGTATGTCCACACCAACCTCCGAAAAAATTGAAAAAAATCTTGACAACCATTTTACTTCACAAGAGCACTGATTTTAATACCAAGACCCAAAAACCACTCTAAAACGTTTGTGCCAAATTACCATGAACCAGCGCCCAATGAAAAAGTTACAATCTGCAGTTGATGCCTACCTCTGTATTTTACGTCAAGCTAATTCCGCTGAAATCCACAGTCTCTTAAATGCATCACGTAAAACACCAGTAAAATACCTATCCCTACCGCAACAGTAACTGACAATTACTCTAGCACTGATCAAAAAAAA